ACCATGTCCAACACTTACTCACATTAATCCATTATCATGGCCAACACTTACTTACAATAATCCATTACCATGGCCAACACTTACTCACAATAATCCATTACCACGGCCAACACTCACTCACATTAATCCATTACCATGTCCAACACTTACTCACATTAATCCATTACCATGGCCTACACTTACTCACAATAATCTATGATCATGACGAACTATTATCCACATTACTCTACTACCCACCATGATTAATACTAACATAAAATTAACTTTTCAGTTTAGCCTTAGTTTTCCTGACCCACCCCAATGCCCCTTTTCTGTCGCTACCCAATGCTAAAGAACCAGAGTTACTGCTGAACCTGCACGTTACCCATGGTACCAAGTCGTCTGAACTACATCCCAACACCGTCCATGACCCCCAACAACGGTAAACGGATTACCCGAGCCTGACACTTATCATAGGGGTTGACACATACACAGGTATGTAAATATTGGGTCAGTAAGACCGGTCTTATTAGTTGCCTGTACCTCACAACAAATGAGTTCGACTGTTTCCCGGGCGTCAATATTTTTTGAAGTTTTCATATTTAAGCCTTTAGATAGACTCGCACAGATCAGTGATCGATTTTACTGTCATTTTTAATAATGTGTTATCGCAAAAGACATTCCGAATAATGACAAAACTGCTCATCGCCTATCCACGGTTACTAACCGTGGCCTATCCCTGCCTGGTTTATTATCACTGATACAATTTGTCATCTATGTGCCATCAGTTTACCATTCACAGCCTAGTTTAGTATGCTCCGTTAACCCCATCCTCGTCATCGATGATTTGTCTTCTGTTCATCATCATCACCACCATCACTTTGCTGTCTGGCTTGGAGATCATAATCCCTCGGTCCTTATCTTCGTCGTATCATTTAATGTGTCATCATTTTCCAACAGGCCAGCAATAATGTATATTACATAGCTTTTCAATGTTTCCCTCGACACTCATTGTGTTCATGATTGGCGCCAATTGTAATACGCTGACCAGCCCAAGACAGACACGTATATGCTGCTAAACTGAGATGGATTCACGGTCGTCATGGAAACGACGTCCACACGTTCTTCAGTACATGGCGTACCACAGAAAAGCCAATCCATTCTACGAACCCAAATTTGAGTGGTGCTGCAGCTATGTATTACACAAACGACTTTTAAGTTACCAGGGACTTATACTAATTTACCCACAAAATGACGGTGCTCTTTGCATTTAAGTTTGTTTTTGCTACTCGCGCGAGACATAAGGTCCTTGTGGATTAATCATCGCAACCAAAAGGACCCATTCACAGACAACCGAGATCTGCGATCATTGTACTGATGCTTCATATACGAACTGTAAAAGTACTCAAAATATTAAACGCTCAAATTCACAAAATTATCAATTATTGGGGGAAATAGAAATATACAATTTCTCACGAAACGCAAGAAAACTCACTCAAGAAAACTTGTTTGTCAAACACGGACTTTAAAAGGACGAATTATTGGAATTCTTATAGTTTCGAGCGAAACAATTTCAACTTCACGCAGAATAATCGCACAATTCTTGTTTATTTTGGCGGGAAAAGGATCCACGTGTAATTACAGCGACAGAAACGAATTATTTAATAAATTTTATAATTAATGTACTCATAGTGGTCTACTTCGACATTCCTAATTATCTTGACTGTCAAGTATTAATTGGGCTCTAATGGGAAAAACTGATGAACGCATCAAGTATGATTAAATGATGTTTAACGGCGGCAATGACAGGCTTAATAAAAGTCGACTATGAAATTAAAACGATGATAGAACGAAAGACAAATGCCCTGTTAATAATTTTTTAAACCCCTCTGAAAATGGATGTGAAACAGGACTAAAATATCCACAAAGGGGGTATTTAGCGAGGATTTTTATTATTACGGATCACATCCGGGCACGTGGAGGCAATGAGCGGAAACAATACACAATAATCAAACCGAAAGTAACTACGGAATTTGACAGCGTTCGATTAGGGGTTCCCATTTGAAAATAGGGAGGGTAGAGACATTGTCGCAGGGGAAAATGAACTGCACAATATTTTATTAAATGCGTGTTATGTGAATAAAACAATACAGATATGAATAACAAATGTGCAGATTAAATTCCTACAGCCCCGGTTAGTACATCTGGTAACTTATTACGACGCTGTTTCGCGTCGAAACACGCGGTTCGAGTTTAGTCTGTCACATATTAAACTATCGGGTATGTGCTAGTAGTACCATGTCGGAAATAGATACAATATGGCACAGATTTCAAGGTTTATTGCCGTGTTCACTTATGGAAAAAAAATCTCATTAGCCCCACCCATGAACAAGCTTGTTACACTTTACAATACAAACTTGTACCACCGGTTTAGAACCAACTAACTAATTAAGCTATAAAAATAATCGGGTCACGGTGGTCAAAAGGGAAAGGTACATAAAACGGATAATGTTTTTAGGAAAACAACACAGGTGCAAGGTTGACACATTTCACACGGGCAGAAAAAAACGTCTTAACGTTAGATCTATACGCTCCAATTTATAGGCGTGTCAGAGCGGTAATTAAAATGTTAATCAGTGAACTTTATTGGCGTTTGCTGCAATCCAGGTGCGATTTTTGCGTCGTTTACGTGTTGTTAAGCACATGAGCAGGCAATGTCTCTACACTAAAATGACTCAATGCATTAACGTCGACTGTGCATTTCACAGGCTCGTGTCACTTTCACGGCCCCCATTTTGATTTTTTTCACGCCACACTACCTCGATGAATTATCGCTACGAATGGCACTACGTTGAACGAACTGTCTGTTATGCAGAGCACTAGCAAGTGGAAATTTCGTTTCACACCTTGGAGCAATTGTGGCTCCATTCCGTCACAGCAACTTAATTACAATAGGGCGAGAGATCGACGTGTTAAAATGGGACCGCCCGGGACGGAAAACGGCAACGTAGTGGGCACTGCACATCGTGTAGATGTGAAGATGGTACACAGCGGAGGCCACATGTAAAGAGAGACAATTGTGATGGAAATGGTACATTAAAACACACAAACTATAACCCATGACATGACATCGTTGAATCTCGCTTGGTGGAAACTTGTTTATTAATTATTAACGCTTAAATTCAGGCATTTTACAGTTGCATTCTGCGATCACAGACCACCTGGTTGTCACTAAGTATAAGACTCGGCATTGTGATCAAAGGGTGGCATCAACTCTGATAAGCAGTCGGTCGAGTTGTTAGTGAAAGTGAACAAGACGCAGGACGATAACGATGGAAATGCCCGCCAGTGAAGAAAAAAACTAAAAATAAGATAAATCAAGAAATTGTCGTAAAACCCACAAAATGTGACCTTTCAATCACTCAATAAAATTGTGGGAGTGCGAAAAATTAAATTAATTTTCATTTCGATGTGTATTTAAGTTGTGTTTTCAGACCGATTTGAAAATTAACGCTTTTTGAAACGTTTCTTCGAACGTAACACCAGACCACCGCCGTCCAAACCACTCGAATAATCACATATCCCCGGTTTGCGTTTCTTCTGTAAGATCTTCTTGAATTTCCTGCAATCAAAAAACAAACAGAACACATATATTTGTATGACGAAACACAAGTCGACAATAAGCTCGTTATCGCGATCAGACGTTCCTTTCCTAAGCTACTAATAACTATTGTTTTTGTGGATGGAAAACACGATTCTCAGTTCCTTAGAAATCCAAGACCTAATATTTCTCAATTAACATGCTTGAGAACAATTTCAATTGTGCGAAAAATAATTATTGAGACATTGGGGTGAAAATGAACCGAGACCTTTCCAAAATAATTAAAGCGACACATAGTTTAATTGATTTATTAATTAATATACATTTCAGTTTTGCCTCCGGTGATTACTACTATTTGAATTATTTCGCAAGTATGCACTCACGTATACAGCCTTCAATTATTGCAATAACATCATTTAGTAAGCCGATTTCACAAACAATATCTGCACAAATTCATAGAGAGCAACATGAATGAAAAGAATAAAAAAATAGACACGACACCATATAAGGCAGTGGAATGAACACGGTTGTTTTTTTACTGATTCAGCGCTCGCAGCAATTTCTCCATTTTGCAAGTTAATCATGGATAGTCATTTCTACTATACGCGTTTTAGTTTTGCCCCACTGACTTCGGCCATCACGGAATGACTGAACAGCAATCGATTAGATATCAACCAAGGGCTAACAGGAAAATGGCTCGAAATGGAGCAGCACATGGCAGGCAATTATCTGTAGAAACTGACTGAATTCCTTTTTGCGATTGCCCATGACGCTGAGACGGGGCGGCGTCTTCCACTCGAATGCCACTGACACACATTTCCTGAGTATAACGTATTTCGCAGATTGGGACAGTTTCCATTTACTTTCCCCATTGAAGGCTAGTTTCCTGAACGTCTTAGGGAATCATAAATATTACTTCTTCATTTCACTGACTTTTGCATATTTAGACGTCAAGCCTGGGATTACTACGGTTCTCAATACCGCGTCATACATCCTCAGACTGACGAACAAGGGACATTAATTTGCCATCGACTATTAAGACAAATGTGTCGCCTTTTAATTTAACTGCATCGAGCACGCATCGATGTAATAGATGCATCAGCTCACTCAGTGTAAAAAATCCAAGGAAAGACTCTGAAAGGCCGGCTAACTGCAATCAGATTGTAACCTCAGGTGTTAGACTAATTCTCTTATAAAGCCAATTCCCCGATGACTTATTACTTTCCTATTACAGTCGACTTACAACTGTCTTTTATCACTATCTTCAGGCGATCTCCAGAGGCTCTGGGCAGGTAATTTATGGTACTACCAAATTTAGCTAATTTTACTGTTCTCTGAGGGGTAAAAGCACAGGATATGGAGGCACAGTCAAACGCTGCAGCGACGACTGAGCTGGATTAGAGTACTGAAAACATTGCGGAGTCACTCTCCGATCGCGTTAATTTTTTACAGCCACAAATAAATTAAGCAATAATTGAGAACGAATTGGCTAGCTAATATCCCTCGCGTAATAGTCAAATACTAAGTGTTGACAAGACTACGGCAATTGGGGGGGGGGGGTATATTCCCAGCGACGGGATAATAAACAAGGCAAACACGCTATCTACTTCAGTAACGGATCTTGTATTAATGCATTGCACCGCCCAGCCATGGATATGCTCAGCCAACAATACCGAATTATGGTCTATTTAATTATCGTACAAAAAACGATTATTAGCCGTATTACCAGCGGCATGTTACCCGCATTAAGCATGTATCAACGTGAATTTCCGCGCCAAGCTCGCTCACACATTTGCGCTTGACTATGCCAATATGAACCACAAAATGCCATGTATTGACGGACAGGCTTTGTTTAGCAATTGCAATAAGAACCGATGTTACCGTTGCACATCATTAAAGCTAGAATATTGTTGTTTTCAACAATTGAGAAAAGTTTGTCAAAACAAGATTTGGTAACATCAAAGAAAGCAAATCAACTTTTCATAATATCTGGTAGTTTGTTTGGATAATGTTTGGAGGTCGACAGTCATGCACAGCAGGCGCTTACGTGTGGCATAAATAAAAATAGAAAAAAAAATACTGAACTGAATGGAACGATTACGAAAGTGAAAAGGGAGCAGTTGTCGTAATAATGCGGCTCTAATGACGATATAAATAGGATAGGTTCCAAAAACGATCGCCCCAATTAGTTTTAGCTGTTTCAATGGACCCAGTGCATTGGAAACTATCACGAACGCTAATTAAACTCGATTATCAGCCATTATTGACTGGGGTAATCCCCACTTAAGGGAACATGGGAATTTATAAAAAACAGTAAAATTAAATTTCACTGAGCGTGAATGATAGCACAAAATTGCCGCTAGAAAGCTGACCTGGTGCATGCCTCTAGCGAGGGGAAAATCGTTCCCATGTACACATGGTACAGAATGAGTCACAAACCAATCACCAGCGATTTCGATTTTTTTCTCTCTGATGTACAGTTCCGAAAAAGGCATTACTATATACGGCCGAGTGCATTCATTTGCGTTGATCTAAAGTAAACATCGCCAAACATATGATACAAGTCACGTGACAGTCCACGTCATTTTGAAACCAAAAGTGTTTCCACCATTTAGTGAAGCTCCAATTTCGTCCTTGAATGATGAATTGATAACAAAATCATACGTTAAGCAGGTTGGCATGAATTGATCTAAAACCCTAACTCACTTTCAATAGCCTAAATATTTGAGTTTACGGTCAACAACTCTGACAAAACGGTCGCAAAATTAGTATTTATATATAGGCATGTACGTCCAGTTGTTGGGAAGTACTAGTATATTAAATTCAATGATTGATATTGAAGACTTGACATACTTGAGGACAATTTAGATTGTGCAAAAGATAATTATTGAGACACTGAGATTTGAATAATGAGTGCGATACAAAGCTAAATTGATTTATTAATTAATAACGATCTCAGAATTGACTTGGGGTGATAAATTGACAGCAGCATGTATGTATAAACTCGAACGCCAGAACCGATATTATAGCCACCATTAATCGGAGAGAAAAAGTTCAAATAATCGTTTCTTGAGCAATGACCCGAAAGCTACAAGGAAACAAATGATTTTGCATTCGACGCTCATTTGAGATTATTCTAAAGAATATCTTCCCCAGGTGTTCTTTGCAGATACTAGAAGCTTATGAACACAATTCTGTTACAGAGATTATATCAGGCATCGTTTGTTTAGTGTAGTCCATACTAAAGAAGCAGGAATTGGTTGAATATGACTATGTGGCACAACACACGTCAGGTGCTCACACTTTTCAAGACACCAGACATCACTTCATGTCTGTAAGCCTTTGAAATGTATACAACGTGATTCAGGATTTGAAATAGATATATTATTATATGTACTTATCTGCAAGGAATACCAAAGCAACAAATACATTGTGAAGATGTTGACAACGGGTCACAGCCACGAAAGAAGTCACAATTATGAGTAACTACTCTTATCTGATGCAACAAATTCATTTGTATTCACGCCAGTGGATATTAATATTCATATACAGTTTAGCAAAGACACTTTTAAAGACAACCACATTTTCAGTCAGTATAATAACTCCAGGATTTTTCTTCTTGAAGACCCATGAATTAGTCAAAACATAAGAACAAACAGGCAACAGAAATAATGCACAGATCAAGATGGAATGAAGTGGTGGAATCAGATTTAAAGTAAATGTGGCGTGTTTATTTGAACTGCTATACATTCCAGGTGGAATTACATATATATTTTAAAGGTAGAAGCCTTAATACAATATTATAAGGACTGAAAAAATGTGGGGGTCATCGCCTTAATGTTTGAGAAAATGATGGTTCAAGTTGAATTTTAGTTGATAGTGGCCATTTTGTCAGTATTATAATGCTTTTACCATAAGTTTCTATGGCAGATATTATGTCATATCTTAAATTGTAATCTGGTGACATAGGCTGAAGTGATTATTTATTGTGAATGATGGGACACTTTTTGTTGTCCAAAATTATATAAAAAATCTGGGGTTTTAAAAAGGGTAAAAAAAATGCAATTTTCCTTAGGAATTTTGAAAAAATATTCCCACAAGTTTTTAAAAATACGTCACTGCAACACACAAAAGAATGCTATTTCATACTCCATGATTTTACATGATAAACCAATGAACATTGTCATGCAATTTATGACAAACTTTCTAAAAAAAATATGAGTAGATTCTACGTTCTAAGTATAATATTCACAAAGATCCCAGATTTCGCAAATTAATTTTTGAACGTTCTATATGGGTCCCACACAACATATACAACATGTCAAAGTAAAATGCTTGCACGAAATAACTTTTGAGATGATGACGATGAGAACAACGGAAGTAAATGATAATATTTTCAATCCCAATTTTGCTACTTTGCTGTTGCTTTTCATTAATGTGTGATCAATGCTACAGTAATAAATACGTTTGTCTGTCGCCGTTCTATTTTTTGTTTACTTATTTGTTTGTTTGAATCATGGTTAGGAACAGTGTTCGAATCAAATGTCCTTCTAAGTATTTCATCATATTACGTAATGTTTAATGACGTCATTTGTAAACTGTGCTAATGGAACGCACACTGCACCACTGTTACACATAAACATTTTAAAAAGTACAACCCTGAAAACAATATAATTGAATCTGGGAAGAGAAAGATTCAACTCAATCATTACATATGTTGATCAGATGATTCTTATGTAAATTAATCAACATTGTCAACATTAGTCAAGTACATGTAATCCAAAGCAAAATATTGAACTTAATTTGATCTTTATTTTATGGGCGACTTTTACAGGTATTTTACAAACATATAAACACAGTCACAACATAATATACAAGATTCAAACTGACAACCACGACAAAGAGCCTCGCCACTGTATGCCAAACTAGCTGTACCAACAAATACGACTTGAAATAGCGTGTAATGAACGTGTACCTACAGTGACTAAATGGACATGCGCAATACAACCACATATAAAAAC